AAATATTTAATTTTCCTTATTGTTTATTTATTATTAACAATAAACATCAGCACATCTACATAATTATATTGCAACTCACTCCAAACCATAGGCACCTAAATGGGGCAGAGTCAAACTATTTAACATTTTAGGTCATAGCTGCACAGGTATTTTGATTAGTTACTAGTTACTTTGATTGTATGGTAACTTAATTAGTAACTCAGATGCTTTTTTGGGTGAAGTAATCTCCAAGTCAGTTTTTTAAAGTAATGTTCCCATTGCTGGTTGCTATTATTAATTTTTTATTATTCTTTTACCCTTATTTTCCAATCATGTAAAAAAAAAAAAAAAAAAAAACCCAACAAAATATAATATTTATATATATATATATATATATATATATATATATATATATTAGGGGTGGGACGATTTATGAAAACCGTCAGAACCGTTCGGTTCGACTGTCTCGGTTCGGTTTGCGTGTGTTTCGTTCGGTTCATGCGCTGCTCCTTTTTCTCATAGGGGAAGCGTTTACACTCCAGAGCAGAAGGTGGCGGTACTGTGACCAAAGCCAACCACCAGTAGTAAACAAGAAAAAGAAGAAGCGAAGCAGCTTAGCCGGGTGTAGCAGGGAAAAAATGAATGAAATGGGGGGACCTATTGTTTGAACCCCTTAGGGGCTTTAAAAAACAAAAATGTCTTTTTTTGCGCTTTATGAAACAAACTACTACAAGTTTTGTGGATGTACAGCTACATTTTTCATATAAGTTTGCGTAGTTTTAACACAAACATTTATTTTTCATATTGCACCAGTACAGTTAATGAGCAACCTGTACTTGTGTGCTTGTTTGTTCTGTCTAAAATGTTTATTTTGGAATAAAGAGGTTAATATAAAAAATATTTTTTGTCCGATTCATCGATTAATCGAAAAAATAATCGGCCGATTCATCGATTTTTAAAATAATCGTTAGTTGCAACCCTAGTAGAGAGCATGCGCCAGATGATTAAATCAAAGCAGCAAAACATACGGAAATGATCCAGGGTTTCCGCATATCATTTAAAATAATTACAATCCATTATTTTTTGGGGGATTAATTAATTCCATAAATGTTTATGGGATTTCGGTGTAACAATCAACATGTATCGAACCGAACCAAAAACCGTGACCAGAAAACCGTGAATCAAACCGAACCGTGGATTTTGTCAACCGTTCCACCCCTAATATATATATTAGGGGTGGAACCCGGCGGAGCGAGACATGCATCTGGCAGTTGTCAGGTTACATGCTCTCTACCATCTCCAAGGAACTCAGAGGGAAGCAGACGAAGCCACAGTGGGGGCTGTAGGCTTTGCTTTGAGCAGCCGGTCTGGAGCGCAGCGGGGGTTGCTGACAGAGTATGAGGGATTTCGGGGTTAGCATGACATGTTGCTGTTAGCATAAACAAAACGTGTTGCACAATGCTTGCACACTGTTGCACTTTTATCCACAACTTTCTTTCCGCCGTCATCGTAGGTCACTCTAAATGCAAAGCGCTCCCATACAGCAGACCTATAAAGTACTGCTGGCGCGTCTTCCAACTCCTGTTCTTTCCCACTCGCCAGTCCGACACAATTCTCCACAACTGATTTTTTCCGGCTATGCTGCTACGCTTCTTCTTCTTCTTGTTTACTACTGGCGGTTGGCTTTGGTCGCAGTACCGCCACCTTCTGCTCTGGAGTGTAATCGCTTCCTCTATGAGAAAAAGGAGCAGCGCATGAACCGAACGAAACACACGCGAACCGAACCGAGACAGTCGAACCGAACGGGTCGGACGGTTTTCATAAATCGTCCCATCCCTAATATATATATATGTATATATATATATATATATATATATATATAGGTTTACTAAAAGGTTTTTAGTGTGTCGTAGAGTTCCTGATCATGTCCTATCTCTTAACTAGAGTGCCCTCTTCCTGTGGACGGCTCTGTGGACGGAGGGAGTTTTAGTTTACCGCAGTTTTCCTGATATCTTGTCTTGTTTTGCCTCTCAACCACTGAGCTTGCCTATTCGCATCTGAACATTCTGCCTGAATGCTCTGTTGGACTCCAGGAACCCTGAATCTGCTTGTTTCTGTTCTGATTAGAACCCCTGACTGGGCTACAGACTCCTGGATCTCTGAACCTTCCTATTCTGAACTGTTTCTTTGACCTGGCTTGGATTCCTGCTGGTTTACTGGGGCTGCAGCATGTGGTTCATTTTGGGCGGCGCCCGCCACATCTCGTTGGCAGTCCACCAGCTGGATCCTACCTCAGTCTAAGGAGATGGACTGAACTGTTAAACCAGGTAAGTGACTCACAGGGATAATCATCCTCTGTCAAATTATCATAGTCACTTACTTGTGTTTTTCTCCACCAGAGTATCCAGTGATGGGCAGTGAGCAGCCCCTGCAGATCTGCACTTCCGCGTCTGATTTTAATAAACGCTTTGAATTTTCCCAATGTCTGTCTAGCCTTGAATATTGGATCCTATTTTCTGAGCTTTATTAAAATCTGACAACATGAAGTAGGCTTAAATACCTTGAAAATCCGAACAGCAAGCCCAAGTATAAAAGAAAATCAATTTAAAACATTACTTTGAACAAAAAATGATTAGATAGAAACTGGGGGAAATGCAGTCTATGGAAAAGTTAAGCTGCTTTGCCTTCAGATACATAGCAAAACCTCACAGTAAAAGCTAATGTCTATAGAAAATTTGACCCCTGATCCAATTTCACAGCCGCAGAGGAGATGACAGCATTTAATGTATATGCTAGTCCTGAGTAAACATTGGAGTCGAATGTCGGTCAGCTACAGTACAGCTCAGTGGTGCTTTGCAGCTTCATGGAAGCTTTACTGAAAACAGGACTGGTTTTCAGAGAAGGGCATGCTTACAGTCAACAAAGGAAGAGAAAAATGCTTTGACAACTGCATGAAGGCTGAAAATTGAAGCACCAAGGTGAGAGGTTATCTGAAAATATCCTCCAGTGAATACATAGTTTGGAGAGAAAAAGTTGACAAAATAGGATAATATTTAAAGCCCGTGCAAAAAATGCCTGCCTCTTAGTTAGATTTTACAGATTTATTGTAAAATTAAGAGTTATTTCCAACATTATGTACCTTTTCAGCGTTATTCACACCACTGCAAACTTTATCTTGCTGCAGATTTAGCATTAAATCCAAAAGCTAAGCCCTTTTTTAATCTATGCAACTGGTTAAAGAAAAGCTTTTCAGGACAAACCTTAAAGCTAGAGAAGGGCATAAAAATATGTCATTATTTCTAAATACTGTTTTGACTATATTGATCCTCTCTTTTTTTACATTATACATTAAACATCAGTTTTAAAGAGCCTCTGCTAGCTAACAAATACTGCTGAAGTGCAAGGCATCTGAAAAATTGTAGCCATGTAAATATTTGATCAAAGCATTCTTTACTTGTGATATTTTCACACATTGAAAAAACATAATTGGTAATTTGATATTTTCTACAGCTTCGCTTTAAAAAGAGCTACACAAGGATTTTTTTTTATTGGACAGGAGGTTATATAAACAACTTTTTTCGTGAAAACTCCTTTTTTGTTTGTTTTAAATAATACATCCACAGAAGATCCCTAGCATATGCCTGACATCCCATAATGTCCTAAAACTCTGGCATATAAAACCCAGGCGTATGCATAGAGTATTAATAACAAGTCCAACGACAGCCTAACTTATGCATAACGCACAGCAGCGTAATGCCCATGAAATGTCACAAGCCAGTGTCATGAGGACGGCAGCGATGCCCCTCAACAGATATTTCATGTAAAACCAATCCTAAAAACTCTGAGGATGCAAAACAGTTTGGTATTGTCTAAACTTACTCCAGTCACACAAAATGCCCTGAAAAACAGCTCTGCCAATGGTAGCCTTCCTGTGTTTACTCTGTAGGTTGCAGTCCAGTCACACCTAATCGCATCATCGACCCAGCATACATTGAAAAGGGGAAAAATGGCGACCTCCACGAATGAAATATATAGCATTGAATGTATTTATATTGAAGTGATTATTAGTTTTTATGTTTCACAAATGGCATTTTTAAGTTCAATTGTATTCAGGCAAACATGTTCATGTCGTCATAGCTCCTGTTCAGTCATCACCTTGCAACTTTAGCCACTAAGGTTGCTAGACCTGCAAATTGACTTGAAGTTGCAAATTGATCCAGCCTTTCTCCATCTTTCATAATCTGCCAGCTCAACACTTTGGACCAGCAGCCTGAGAGGTCATGGAGTCACTTGTAAAGACAAGGAAGCATTTCCCCCTCTGGATTAAATCCTACATCAAAGAACATAAAATATGTGTTTATATCTTTTCTGTTGCCTTATCTTTTTGCTTAGTTAGCTCCGCTGTTTAAGAAGACCTCAGACTGCTTTAAAGCTGTGCTTATGGTCACGTGACTTATTCGGTGACAAATCCGACCCTCTTAAGATACATAGGCGAGTTTTTAAGGAAAGCAATCCACACAAGGCCTTGATATGCACAGAATGCTGAATATAAACCTGAAAAATAAGTGAATATATATCAAATTAAGCTAAAAGTTGGGTACAAAAGTACACAGTATTGCTTTAAAAAAGATGTGAACCGATGCTTTGAAATGAAACCAACTAAAAAATGTAATGTATGTGTGACCAAAACATTAACCGCTGAGAACATTTTTTGATCCAAGGGCTCCTTCAACCTTTATGGAGTGGTGAACTGTAGCATTATTTACATCATGACTTGAGCTGGAAAGCTGTTAAAAACCAGTAAGACTGGTCTCAGTTGGCTTTTGGGGTAAAGCTTTACTCTAACTGGTTTAGTGGGAAGTCCCCTGTGCTTAGATAAGGTTCAGGCCTCAGAGACTCAGCCAGAAGTGTTGAAAGGAAACTGTTCTTCCTCTTTACATATAGAACATCTTCTTTCACGGTTTGATGTTGTTTTAAACACATGCGGAACATTTTTTATGAACTGCTTTTGATCGTCTTACCTAGAAGCTGCACCCCACGGGTCAGGCCGTAAACATCGATCAAGGCCCAAAGGGGCTCAGCTGTGCGTACTCCACTGAAGAAAAGCATGGGACTGGACTCGTTAATGCGGTAGAAAACCCTGCCTTTCTTGTCGACCCAAAAGGCAATGATGTTTCCCTCATTAGCAAACTCTTCAGGCAGAGCTTTGGCCCAGAAGCCGCTCTGGGACACCAGATCGGGGCAGGCGTACTTTGGCAGGTTGTCTGGGTTTATCCTGGAGGGGTCTTTGGAGGTGAAGCCTAGACGCAGAGCGCCACTCCAACAGCACTGCTTTTTAGTGATCTGAGAAATAGAAGTCAAATTCATTTTTAATTATTAGAAACAATATGTCATTTAGACTTTTAACACAAACTGTTCCAAAATAAGGATAGAAAAATACCTTGAGGCGGACTTGCTCGTACAGTGCAATGGGCCTGTTGCTGAAAGTGATGGCGTTGCAGAAGCTGGCCTGCCTCTTTACGCTCTTCTGGGCCAGGTCCATGACTATCTGAGACCCCTTGGTGTTTGGATGGAAAAGGAGCGGGCTGACCAGGAACGGTCCGCCAACGCTGCTGCACTGGATCGGCAGACACCTTTTGGATTTGTGGTGGCATCGATGCGACGTGGACGGGAATGGACCTCCGAGGGAGTCTGAGGCAGAAGAACCAGAACAGAAACAGAGCTTTGTTAGATAAAATAAATATTTAAACGTTTGCAGCATGGTTTTTACTTTAAAATATATCAAAAATACAAACAAACTTTCACATTTTTCAAGTGACGACTAAACAAGATTTTGCAGACAAATGTTGAAAACTAGCTCCTTTGTTTAACCCCTAGAACCCTACGGACCCACCGGTGGGTCCAGCTGCTACGTGACCTCGTAATTTTAACAAACCCCCAGTATTGATCTAAAAAACACATTTGGCACAGTTTGGTGACATTTTTGGATAAATGTGCCAAAATGGCCTCTCCGCCTAAGAAATTTCTCACTAATACCATTCTAAAATAAATATGATTCATCTGATTGAGTCCAAATTTGGTATATTTTTACACAACATTTAGATTTAAAAGTCTGTACTACTTTTTTGTGCTATAAATAATATTTTGGTAGTGTTTTGCAATGTTTATTTCAAAGAAAATTTTGGCGAGGTTCAAAAAATGCAAAATATTTTGTATTTTGTCCCTAATATTTCAGGGAGGGTCAAAGCTACAATGGTGCTGACACCAGAAAACCATTCATGACATCTTACCAAAAGTTTCTTCTTAAATCTAATAGCTGTGAGGCTATAAGTGATTTACTTTTGTGTGTTTTTGTCAGGCAGAAATTTATTTATACCCCCTTAGGGTGTAAGAGGTTAAAAGCACTTTAAAGTTTTGATTTGGCCAAAGTAACAAAGACGACACACATCATCCATGCCTTAAAATTATAATTTTTTCGTTTTTAAGCTCCACTAAACTGGGCTTGTTAATCAAGTATAAAACTGGATAAAAATACTCTGTTTAATTCAGCATGAAGGATGAAACCATTAGAAATAACACATACTCTTTTGAAGATGCTCACTTCCCAGTTAAAAATGGTAAAAATTGAATATGAGATCTGAAAGAACAAAAATAATATTCTGTACCTGGAAGGCAATTTTAATGATACATCATCAATCCTGCATCAAAACGGTAGGAAACGATGAGGGAGGGCTAGGGGGTCGCGAAAGTTTTGGTTGATTTTGCCTTTTTTTTTATTCCCCCCTGCAATTTTTCCCACTAATTGAAATGTCTTTAAATACACCTTAACATGAATTCAAAGGACTGTATTAGACAGATAAATGGAGGCAGAAGATGTCTTTCAGTCATCAATGCACACATTCAGCGACACACAGGAGCTCTTTCAAGATGGACACCGTTTCATTCACAACACCTGTCCCATCAACCAGGAATCAGAAATACTTTAATAATCCCAGGGAGAAATTACTTTAGTTACATTACTCCATCTGTAATAGAGTGACTATAGGACCAGTTTGATATAACACAATTTCATAGTATATAAAATTAGGGTGTCCCCGCTCCATCCCGCCATCAGTTTGGAGGTCCTTGGCCTGGAAAACGTTGAAGACCCCTGATCTAGTGGATCAAGCAGTGCACTTGTGTTCAGATAAGGTTGCAAGTAACCAGTTTGATCCCCACAGACTGCCTCTCTGGGTCTCTGAGCAAGACCCCCTGCTCTCCGGGCGCCACATGCTGGCAGCCCACTGCTCCCCAAGGGAATGGGTTAAATGCAGAGGTAAATTTCTCAAACATGAGATCAATAAATTTCTCCAATGTGAGATCAATAAAGTTCTTAAAGTTATTATTATTATTAAAAGAGAAACTAAAGGATGAGTTACATGACAAAATAATCCAACAATGTTCCTTTGCAAAAATGTTAAACCTAATGCGGCTGCTACTGAAATCGACTTGTTTAATCAGAGCCTGATTCATGAATATTTTTGCATGATCTTTAAACAAAAGATATATATATTCATCCATCCATCCATCCTTCTTCTTCTGTTTATATATATATATATATATATATATATATATATATATATATATATATATATATATATATATATATATATATATATATATATATTTTTTTTTTTTTGATATCCGTTTTTGTTTCCAGTTCTATTTTTAAGTGTGTTACATTTTTTATATTTTAAGAGAGATTTGTCTTACGTTTGTCTTACGTTTGTTTTTTGTTAAAAAGTGATTATATGATATATATATATATTATCATTTTATTAATTGTTTTATATGCATGTAATGTTTTTAGTTTTTTAATATATATTTTATTCTTTTGTATAGTCATTTTTCTATTTTTCTACCACAAGTTAACACCACTTTATTAATCTCAAACCCTCAAATTCTGTATTTTATTCCATATGACCATAATATAAAAAAAAAAAAAAAAACTGTTTAATTTATTTCTTAAGCAGGATTTATAATTAACATAGACACAAATAGAATAAAAAAAAATCTAATCTTAAATTATTTCGATTCTCTTTAGACTAAGTCAATTAGATAAACAAAAACCCTAAAATAAAATTGACAAAACTGTGACGGATGTTTCTCTTACTCAACTCGCTCCAAGTGCAGACATGAAAACAATCATGACTCTGAGATAATTTTAGGGAATATTAAATATTCTCAATCTGATTTTTGGATTATAGGCCTGTAGCAACCTTCATCCTGTTTAGTCTCCTTTTTGATTGGTTCATTTCTGTGAGATCGCTGTGTGGAAAATGTTTTCACAGGTTTGAGATTAACTAATGTTGAACTTGGCTTTCCCATAAAAAAGCCTCTCTTTTTTTTCAATCAAACTCCTGGCCAAACTATTTCAGCACATATTTGGATAGCCGTTTATGGAAAGAAGAAAACGTGGATCATAAATCAGAAAGATAACATTTCTTCCTTTATTAAAGTGTTAAAGAGGAAAGCTGGGATTTTATTGCAGCTTGCCTACAAAAACATGGCCGCAGTAGAAGGAGCCAAGGTGAAATTATGGTGGATGTTGCGTTTATAGTTGGGTGGAATCGATCCAGCCTTGTTCTACTTATCAAACTAGACTACTTGATTTTAACAGACCATGAGTGGCTAATAACAAGTACAGCGGTTGGAGCAGATGTCCAGTTGAGACCTGATAAGACTGCAGTGCCAATTGTCCCAGAATACAGCTTGTTTTTTGTCTTCTCTTTGTCCTGCTGGGTTTATGTAGTAATGACCCTGTAACCATGTGTACCGTCCAATCTGCCTCCAAAGTGATAATAATAATAAAAAAAAAAGTCCACTGAAGCCTTTTGTCTTAACCAGAGCCAACGAGGAGCAGGATGCATGGGCTGAATGTGGCGGGCACACGTGGTCGTGGCACGGGCAGATTGAGCTGAATGCATTAGCGGCCTCTAAAGAGGCGCAGCTGCTGTGGCGGAAAACAGGCTACGTGTGAATTCATGTTCCTTAGCAACCCCCTCATATCTGAACGTCTCAATCGGCCCGCTCTGCAGCCATCGGTTAGGGCACAGATGCCTTTTGTTTACTATCACCATGAAAATATATTTATAGACCCAGAATCTGGTCATCTGCAGCCTCTCTGTTTTTTTTGTTTTTTTTCTCTGGAGTCTGATCAACAGCAGCACTGTAACGTTAAGTGTAATTAATTAAACAGACAGAGTAATTAAGATTAGTATTATTTTTGTCAGCTTCCTGCTGACTCAAATGTGTTGAGTTTATAACATAGTCTGGTATTTTGAGCATGTTTAACATAAATCTTTGGATTATTCTGGACCATTTGTGTATTGATTTATTATAACTTCAATAACTCAATAAAAAAAGATTAACTGTTATAAGGAAGTATTTATTTTGACTATGTGACTCCATCGGGTGAGTAGTTCGCAGTTGGTGTAGCTAGCCCTGCTACGGTTGAGTTCTTACTGGGTGTTATGATGCTGAATGATGAAATGCTACAGTTATAAGGAGATGTGATGAAGTAAGGTGTGAATTAATGTCTGTTATTGTTGCAAGCAAAGGAACTTGTTTTGTTAATTGAAGTTGTAGTTTTATAGGATTTAAATTCTCTTTTTAATTTATCTCTATATTTATATATATATATATATATATATATATATATATATATATATATATATATATATATATATATATATATATATATATATATATATATATATATATATATATACACATATATTTTCCAATTGAGATTTACCAAAATATATCTGAAACAATTAATTGGATTAATTGTGATTAATCAATTATTTAGTTAATCATCAGCTACTCTAGTAATCAATTACTTGTTAACTGGAGTATAGAGGCTATAAAACATTCCAGAAGCTGACAGAGCAACCTATTTAGAGCAGCGATTGTGCCAGGATTGAAAAAAATTATACATTACATTTTGGATTTTAGATAAAAGCATTTCATCCATCAATCTGCTCTATTTAGAACTCCTCCAGTGGAAAAATTTTGTTTTCATCTGGTTTAATTTCATAAAAAAAGTCTTCTTTAAGAAACATTTGGCTATCCGATTATTAATTAGATTAATAAAAAAAATTATCGGCAGGTTAATCTATTTGCATCCGTGAGTTGCAGCCCTCCTAACAAATTATATTCTTTTTAATTAAGTTTCTTCTCTTCAAGCCCAGTACAAACACTCCCTCTTGACATTGAACAATAAAACGGTCATATATAAGTCCAGCAGACCACTTCATCAGAAGTGAGTATGATCTGTAAAATGCAACTGGAAAAGTAGAACTCAAGCTGAAATGCAGAAATGTAAAAAAGAATTTGGAAAAGGTAAAATCTAAATAAAAAAGAAAGAAAATAAAGAATAATAAAAAAACAAGCTTTGATAAATTAGCAAGTTTTTTTTTTATTTTCAATGTACAAAATGTTTTCTGTGGTTGCAACAATAATATAACAAAATTCACTCCATCACACGTTAGCCAAAGGTTATGAATAGCAAATCTGGCTTACAAGTAGTGTTGCACCAATACCGATACCCGATATCGGGCTGTGCAGTATCGGCCCATACCGATACCATCTGTTTGAAATTGATGTGTGTATATATATGAAGAACTGCGTACTACTTGGATGTAAAATAA